TGTCCAGTCCTCTGTCTGCTCAGTTTTTCTACAAGAAGAGATTGTTGCTTGGGGAATAACTTTAGGAAAAACAGGAAATAATTCTTTATGTGTTTTTTTTTTTTGTTGGTTATGGGCTTTGGGGTGTTTTTGTGGGGGGGAGGGGATTGGTGTGTGCTTTTTTTACACTGATGTATTTCACAAATGTTCCTTCACTACTTACCTTCAGCTGGTGACAATTATCTTCCCTCTGAGTCCAAGAGGTTTAGAGTAGGCCCTGCATTAAAAGTATGAGGAAATCACCACTGAGAAACAAGTTTCAAAACTAATGTTTTTGCAGAGAAGAAAAAGCAATGTGTGCGCCCTTTGTCTGGTCTGTAACCACAGCATGGTCTTCCCAGCATTCTTTCCTCTGGCATGCAAAATATTTCCCAAACTCTCATCCTGTTGTTTCTAGGAACTGTGTCAGACTGCATGCAACTTGTAAAGCTAAGGCAGTAACAATGTGGCACTGTAAAACTCTTTCATATTCTAGTTTACTGGAAGTATACGATTCCCAGTGACATATCCTAAGTACACAGGAAAAGGGAGTGAATTCAGGAGAGTTTTGTCCCATTTATGGTGTGTTTGTTGCAGGGGGGAACTAACAGGTGACTAACTTGTGCTGCGCAAGCCTCCAGGTCTGCGCTGTTGCTTGGAGGACAGGACCAGGCTGCTAGTTGAGCTTGAGGACCACCACTGGTGCCCTGTCTGTTAACTGGTAATGGGGACACGGGCACGGTGTGACCACAACAGGATCAGCGTTTCCATGTAATGTAGAAAAAGTCCCATGATGTTTAATTAAATCCCTCAGGAAGTTTAACAGGTATCGGAATCATAATTCAAGCAGAGCTGATCTCAGTGTCTAAAGACCCACAGTTTTTAATGCTACTTTTTCTCCTGGTCCAGACATCTTACGTGTTTGCAGATTTATTCTTGATTAATGTTTCTCACCTAAGATGTTGGAGGGATGTTTAGGAGGGGAATGGTACATTTACTGTAATCACTCAGGTTGTATCTTATTTGATAAACAGATAATAATACTGAGAGCTGCTATATTGACCAAGGCCAAGCCAAAAGTGTACATGGGTGAGGAATCTGTCGTATCAACTCCATTCAGTGAGACTGTGATAACCGAGAGAGATTCCACTGCTGGAACCACCCTTTTTGCTAACAGCTGGCTGCACTGATGAGGTTTCCTACTGCCATCTACTGCTTGCTTCTGAAAAGAGAGAGAGAAAGCAGACCTTGGTTCATCTCCATCTCTAACATTCCCTTTGTCTTCTTTTCAAATTCAGAAAGAATTTGTGTTTTCAAAAATCTTTCCTCTACTGAAAGTAGAAACCTCGAGTGTGATCAAGGGAACCATTATCGCTTTATTCCGCATTTTCCATCAACAGGAGCTTCCCCTATGCCAATGTATGCAAACATAGTATTTTTTTAATCACTGCTTTCCTGTTTTTCTTCATTTTATCTAGTGCAAATATAAACAACAGACCTTTTTGACAACCTTATCTTTTAGCTCTTAATTATTTTACATTAGATTCAACATTTTTAGATCCAGAAGTCTTTGCAGAAGTTACAGTCTTTAATTATTGGAATTCAGTTGGAATAATTGGAGTCCTTTGGATTAATGGGACTTTTCATTGTTTCACAATAAATTCAAACAAATAAAACAAAGGAGTGTCCTTATACTGCTACTTCCTACATTTTTCTAAAGCCCCTTCCTACAAACTTAACCCCCAAGCTTCACTCTTGGTCTGTAGCAGTTACATAGGTAATTAGTAGGTATTTAATAGGATGAAAGAGCAGAGCTGGACTTGTGATTTCAGAACTCAGCAGCTTTTTATCAGGGGAATACTAACAGTTGTCATTTGTTTCCTATCATTCAAATCTCAGATGTTGTTTGCTAAAAACATTGCCCATCTTTTCAGTTTCAATGGAAATGTTAAATTTTCATGCATGTCGCCATAGATTTTGTCATTTCTCATGTCAGTGAGTCAGAAAAGCAGATTAGATGAGCATCTGAAAAATACTGAGATCAGAGACCAGGCCTACAAGCAGAAGCAACCATAATAACATCTGTTAAACCTTGCTGAGACATCAGGATCCACAGAAGGACTTGCAGAAATGGAGGAGGACTGTCAGAAGTGATGGCATTGTTTGTACAGAGTCAGGTTTTAGGAAATACTGATGAAGCCTCAAGATTTGCCTGATGTTCCCACATCCTGCTGACCACCAGCAGCAGAATGAGCATGTTGCACCTTTTGACAATGAGCTGCACCACTGCAAATGAGTATAAAAGCTACTGACCACCTTGTCATTCCCCAGCTCACACAGTCACCCTGTTATGAAAAAGCCTGTGAACACAGTAGCCTACAAGAGCAAGATGACTAGGAAGATACATGAGGACTTTGTTTAAAGGTCTCGTGTTATTGAGTCTTATCTTACTCGAAGTTTACAAAGCCTTAAAGATTTTTTGATAATGAAACTCTCAGGCTGTCCCACGTTGAGGTGAGCACAGCCCTGCTTTGCTGAGAGACCCATTGTGTCATGCCATCCTTTATTGTCTGAATAGGGCATATCTCCCCACACAGGCTTTTCAAATCCAGTAAGAACAACTTGGCAAGGAGGCAGAGGAGAGGAAAAGTCAGCTGGTTCAGTGCTGAACCATGCCAAGTCTTTTCACCATGCCAGAAGGGTCTCCAGATGGACTTTATTGGCTGTGCTACTTAAGGAAGATGAATTACAGCTGAGAGTCTGTGCCTGTACCTCTGAGTGACTGATAAATGAGGATAGAGGAAAAAACATTGGGTTGTTTTGTTAAATTCAGAATTGTGCTTGCTCTCCTCATTTTCTGTTGCTGTCAGGTGGAGTAGAAAAATCTCCAAATCTTATAAGCCTGATAACTGAAAGTTAACACCACCAGCAGCTTAAAGGAAGTCATAACAGATAACAGCAGGTGATGTTGTGCTGCTGGATTTTACACAAAGCTCTTCATTAAGGCAATCAGATAAAAATGCCAAGATGAGTTTCTGCCTTCAGCCTGTTCAAAAGTGTGATGTCAAAAAGTGTTCCTACCGAGCAGGTTAATGTAAGAATACGGAGAATCCTGCTGCAAAACACTTCCAGAAGCTGTTTAACAGAGTGAAAATGAGTTATGAGAAATTAAATACAGCATCTTGTACCAGTTGGGTATGAAGTTGTACTGCAATAAGCAATGGAGTTTTATTGAGAAAATACTAATGAGAAATAAATGGCTGCAGTGAAAAGTGCACCATCTGGTCTGCATTTGACTTCATGTATGAAAGCTATTTGGCCTGGCCTCCTGCCAGATCCTGCAGGTTTTAAGGTCATGGGACATGAAGGAGACTGAACTTCCTATGTTAGCATCCCAGAGTTTTCTCCTAGCAGAGCATAGGCAGTGTTCTGAAAGGACAGGACAGAAGCAATGACTCTCCAATTTGGCTTACAGGTATGGCTCTTTTTTTTTTTTTTTTTTTTGCATTTTTTTAAGCTGTTGTGTTCTCTCCCAACATCTATAACATTTATGGAGTGGCCATTATTAAAGGTTGTTAGCTGTTGTTCAGGAATCCTTCAACATGCGTACGTGGGGTTTAAAGTCATTGTCTAACTACCCCTGTGATTTGCAGGGTTTAAGGTCCTTAGAACAGTCCAGTCTGAGGCATTCCCTTGAGAGGGCTGACTATGAGCATCTCTCAGCTGTTTGGACTATGTTGTATTCTCCACGGTATGCCAAGGGCTCTGCTGGTTTTGGTATCACCTCTACAATTTTCTGCTCATGGACCATGGTGTGCTTAGCTCAAATAAACTAGTCCTTCCCTGTCCTCCCCTCTTGCACTTGGACTATGGAACTAGGTAGTCTGAAGTCCAAAAGAAGAGCAGTAAGAGTGCTAGAAAAAGACTGAAGCAAACTGCTAATGAGGGCTTTTTTTAACCGTCTTTGGACCTAACATCATCTGCTCTTGCATCGTTGCAGTTAGTAACTTCACAGCAATGACATATAGGAAAGGGATAGTAATGAAAATACTTTCATCATAATGAAGAAATTTAATGCTCTAGTTAGCCGTTTGGACTAACAATGCTGCTGATGGTATTGAGGGCTTCTGGATTTGCCTTTGCATTAGGCATATGCGATCTCTTTAATTGTCATGAAGGGCTGATGTAAGGATCCCAAATCTGCAGACCCATCTGGTTGGCAAACTTCACAAGAGTCCTGGTTGTCGGACTTGGATTTGGTTGACATGCTACCTACCTGTCAATCTGAATCTTGTGATGCAGTGAAAATCCTTTCGTTCTGCCTTCTTGAGTAATGGTATCACTGTCTGGTGCCTCTTCTGTCTCTCTAGCTTGCTGCTCAGTCAACAAATCATTAGAGAAGACCTACTGGAAACCAAGTATATGGAAGGTCTTGAGATAGTTTAAACACATCAGTTGGAGGCATCGTCATGGCTCTGCAGGCGCTGTCTAAAGAGAACAACTACATGGAAAAAACATTTCTGTGAGCGAACACTTGCTATGCCATCAGCGCTGCTCTGTGCAGAAACTTAACTCTAAACAAGCCTTGGGCATTTCCTCACTAATCAAATATGCTCACCTTGCAGTTATAAAAGGTTTTGTCTGGGTGTTAGCCTAGCTTGCCCTGCTTTACCCCTGCCTGGCATATGTTTCACAGCAGGCTTTTTCATTTGATGCTGCAATCCTTTGCTATGGAGGGCAGAGTGAAGATTAGCTGTTATGTCATGGTTTGACCTATCCTTCGTCTTCTTTCTGCCCTGTTCCCATGCGTCAGTGCAATGACGGCCTTGGTTAAACCAGCTTGTTCAGCGAGAGCCCCGTTAGTGCGGGCGGCCCGGGCCCGATGCGCCGGGAGAGCCCGGCCGCTGCCCTCGCTCGATGCGCTCGGTGCTCGGCCGAGCGAGCTCTCGGGAGCGGCTGTGGCTGCCTGGCGGGCAGCGCTGGGGCGGCCATGAACGGGCTGGCGCGCGTCCTGTGGCGGGCCGCGGCCCCGGGGCGGCTGTCGCTGTCCCGGGCAGGGGGGGCCGGGGCCGGAGCCGGAGCGCGGCCCTGGGGCTGGGGGCTGGCGCTGGGGCTGGCGCTGGGGGTGAAGGTGCCGGCGGGCTGCGAGGCTGACGAGGCGGAGCCGAACCCGAACTCGCTGCCGTCCCCTCGGGGCTTCGGCGCTGCCATCGAGAGGGGCAGGGATCTGGTGCGGAGGATTAAGGTGCGGAGCGAGGGGGGCTGCGGGGACCCGAGGGTCGTGTCTGTTGCTGTGCGAGCCGGCTCCCACCCGTGAGGGGGGAGCTTTCGGAGGCGGTTCACACCAGTTCAGCCCAACTAGTGCTTAACTAAACGTCAGTTAAGGTAACAGCAACGTGCAGGTGTATTTGTGGGATTGCTTTTGCGAGATGGTGTTTTTAACTGTAAAGGTTCCCCTTAATATCTTCTGTGCGTTTTTTGACAGGATGAAGCAGGAATCCCAGGTATACTAGTTGGAGTTTCAGTAGATGGACAGGAAGTCTGGTCAGAAGGTCAGTATATGGGAGTAGCAGTTGTGCATGCTGTTAGGAAGCAATGGAAGTTTTAGGAATGAGCAGTTCAGACAAAGGGTTTTAATGCACTTCATGTCCTATCTCTGAGCAGGGGGCAGAAACAGGAGCCTTGGGAGCATAAAGAGATAATTTTTTTAGTAAACTTCAGTAATTGCCAGGAGTTGGTAATTTATTAGCTTCCTGATTGTGCTAGTATATATCAAATGGTTCTGTTTAAGTACCTTTCTCTAGTTGTTTGTCAGATGAGTCTTTTCATATACTCCAGGCATAGAGCTGTACAGTGCTCTGGTAGAATTGTGAATAGGAGGTAATGAACTGTTCTCCCTGCAGGACCTTACTTAAAGTAATAATGACTTTCTGACAGCTGTTGTATTAACTTTTATATATGTATAAAACAGATTACAGGTTTTCATTTCTCTTTCATGCCTGAAGTGAGTTGGAGAGCTTCTAGTACCTTTTGTACTGTGGCCTAATAAGAAAATTATACTAGAAACTTAATCCCAAACTTTCTCAACTCAGGTGGCTTTTCTGGTCTCAAATTATGTGGCAATGATTACAGAAGTTTTCCTATTACTTCTGCACAATCCCTTCCTTGACATGCAGGAAAGTGCCGGAGAGAACTAGTGCCAGGTTTGTGGTTTATCACCACGACTGCCAGATCCAGTAGCAAGACAGCTACTTGTGGGAGGATAAGCCTTGGCAGAGCTTTCTGTACCCTGCTGCCTATGGATACAGAGAACAATGCTGCCTTGAGTAAGGCAGCTGGGAGGTGGGCAACATTGCTCTAACACAGCTCATTTTGTTGCCCTCCTTTCTTCATGGGGGAAAAACAGGAGGAGGTTTAAGGTGCATGTGTTCTGTGACCATGACACTGAACCTGCTTTCTTGCTAAACTGATGGGAGAAATTTCAGATTTGGAAGCTATTTTCACTGAGGCATGCAGTATCTGCATTCACAAGCACCATGCAAGCACTTGAGTGTCAGCTTTGCATAAAAGGGTCTCTTGCAATTGACATGTCATTTGTTTTATTTCTTGTATTTTGGCAAGGTGTTTTTTTGCATGAGTTGTTCATTATTACACTACACTTTGATGTAGACAGACACAGAATCAGAGAATCACAGAATGTTTTAGGTTGGAATGGACCTTAAACCTCCTCCGGCTCCAACCCCCTGCCATGGGCAGGCGCACCTTACACTAGAGCAGGTTGCTGCAAGTCCCACCCAGCCTGGCCTTGAACACTGCCAAGGAGGGGGCATCCACATGAACTGCAGTATGAGCAGGCCTTGCTCATGTTGTTACTGCATTTCATTGCTGTTTATGCTGCAACATCCCTTGCACAGTTTCTTCAAACCTAGCTCAAACTGAAGACTAGTATGGGAGCTTATTAATTCCAGTTCTTGCTACTAGACTTGTGGGTTGGTTACACAGGAAAACATTGGTATGGAGACTCTTAAGCTGTCGTGTTATTGAAGTCATGCTGAGTGATGTTGAAACAAAGTGCATTACATGACTGTTTTGTGAAGCTTTACAGCATAGGTAACTGCTGGGAGTTTGTGAGTGATTTCCTTTCTCAATATCCATATTGATAAAATAAGACCCTTTACTGTTTTAACCATTAAATCAGAACAATAGGAGGAATATTTATGATTTTCAGTTATTGTACAGTCTATATTTTGGTCTCTAGTTTTTCTACATTGAATATTTGACCTCAGGGAGTATAAATTTTGGCTTGCTCTTCAATTTCATTTACCATTAGGTTGTTCTGTAATCTTAGATCAGTAATTTGGGATGCCCATTGGCCGATACAGTGGGTTTTGATTAACCTACTACATTAAGATGTTCCTACTACATTAAAATGTTGTTAATGTCATTGAAGCAGGAGCAGGGATAATCCAATTCATGTCCCTGTTTAGCTAGAGAAAAAACACGGTAAGAAGCCAGTAAATCTATTCATTACAAGCAATTAATTCAGCATGTCTCTGTGCAAAATATTTGCAGTGTTTTTATTTTCTTAAAGGTTTGGGTTATGCTGATGTAGAGAATCGTGTAGTATGTAAGCCAGAGACCATCATGCGGATTGCTAGCATTAGCAAGTGTCTTACAATGATGGCTGTTGCTAAACTGTGGGAAGAGGGGAAACTGGATTTAGATGCTCCAGTGCAGAAATACGTCCCTGAATTTCCAGAAAAAGTCTACGAGGGTGAAAAGGTATGTGACTGTTCATTGGTAACACTGGTTTGGGTTTCTGTTCCTGTCACTGCACAGCCATATGTGTACAGATGCCTGTATCTGGACCCATTCCCACAAAACAGATGTTTGCTGCTTGAAAAAACAATGCTGGAAATTGGGATCTTCAGTTCTATATGACGTGTAGTGTGTGCATATATATGTATCTATTTTAACTGGGTTTAATACATGATATTTGAAAGTCCTTCCACCTTTGTCTGTTCATCATCATGCTGAATTTTACTTTTCTGGTGATTTAGTGTGCATCATACCTTTAATGAAGAGAGCTCACATTTAAATGCTGTCTTTTCTACCTAGGTCACTATTACTACAAGACTGTTAGTCTCGCACTTGAGTGGGATTCGTCATTATGAAAAAGATATTACAAAAGTAAAGGAAGAAAAGGAAAAGGCAAACAGAGCATTGAAACCAACAAAACCGTGTCAGGATAAAGAACAAAAAGAAAAAGAAGGCAAAGGGGTTGAAAGGACTGATTCTGTCAAACCAAGGAAAGAACACGAGGGTGAGGTAAAAAGCCGAAATTCAAAACCTGGCAGGAGAGACCGGGAATTTGAGCAAGAAGAGTATTATTTGAAGGAAAAATTTGAAAGTGTGATTGAATCACTGAAGATATTTAAAAATGATCCTTTATTCTTTAAACCAGGTGAGTTTCTATTAATTTAGACCAAAACGTGCTCAGGATTTTATCAATTCAACTTTAGGTAACACTGTTATAAAGATACCTTTACCAGTCTACTGACTTGAAGAATTACGCTTACATAGATTCAGATACCGGAGAGGGACTCTTCATCAGGGACTGTAGCAACAGGACAAGGGGTGATAGGTTTAAACTTCAACAGGGAATGTTCAGGTTATATATAAGAAAGAAGTTCTTTACTGTGAGGGTGGGGAGGCCCTGGCACAGGTTACCCAGAGAAGTGGTAAATTTTCCATCCCTGGCAGTGTTCAAGGCCAGGTTGGAGAGAGCCTTGGGCAACATGGTCTAGTGTGAGGTGTCCCTGCCCATGGCAGGGGGTTGGAACTGGATGATCTTAAGGTTCTTTCCAACCCTGACCATTCTAGGATTCTATGATAGAACCTTCTAATGGTGTATCTGCACCATAATCCAGCCAGTTCAAAATGTCATGTAGCCAAGACTTAAAAGGTATTACAAGAGGGTCCTAGATAAGAAGAGAAAGCGGGACCTCAGGTAGAGCTCCTGGGAGAAAAGTCTTATTTCTAAATAATGCAGTAAGTGCCATGAAACATACCAGTTATTGAATTTGTCAATTCTAAAGCAAACATTTTAGTGAGGTGTCCTGGGTTCAGCAGTAGCAGTCATGTTTTTTCCTTCGTGGTAGCTGGTGCAGTGCTGTGTTTTGACTTCCAGCCTGAGAACAGTGTTGGTGAAGCCGATGTTTTCGGTTGTTGCTAAGTGATGTCTACCCTGACCAAGGACTTTGTGAGGCTCATGCTCTGCCAGGGAGGAGGGGAAGCTGTGAGGAAGCAGAGACGGGGCGCCTGACCCGGGCTAGCTGGGGAGGTATTCCATACCACAGCACATCATGGCCGGGGTGAGGGGTAACTGGGAGTTACCCGGAAGGACAGGGGCTTCCGGGTGGAACTCGCTTTCTTGGCCGGTGGTATCGTATTCTCTTCCCTTGTTATTTTCCCTTATCATTGTTTTAGCTGATAGTAGCGGTGGTGATTTGTTGCTGGACTGTTCTTGTCTCAACCCGCAGGAGTTGCACTCTCTCGATCCTCCTCCCCGTTCCTCCGGGAGCGGGGAAGGGGAGAGCCCCGGTGCGGGTGGGGGACACACACGGACCTCGATTGTTGTCAGCTCGGCACCACCCACTGGGAGTGAGTGAACAAGTTACCTGACTGTGTTTAAACCACGACATGAGGCACTAATCCAGAGCTAAAAAATTCTACAGAAAGATCACAGAATCTCAGAATTGTTGAGGTTATTTATTGTTGGAACTAGTTCTAGAGAGAACTTTGAGGAGTTTCAGTTGTAAGTTCTAAAGGTTAAAAGGCAAAGGATATGCACTGCCAATAAACAGCAAATGTGCATTTAAGGGGAAGGGAGTATGAAGGGGGAGAAGTTAACCTTATAACCATCTTGGAGAGTTCTAGGAAACCCTTCAGGTAAGAGATCTGTCTGGACTGTAGGCAGTTTGGCAGCTTGGTGCCAAACATTTCTTAGTGCAAGAATGAAGTAAAAACATTGTTTTGTAAATAAAATATATTATCTTAAATAATACACGTTAGTGTTCATATAATCTTACAGAATATTCTTGAACTAGAAAACCAGAACTAAAAACACTTGTTAAAAGTTATCAAAAGCTTTGAAAACCTTGAGCGAGTTCTACTCCTGTCTTTTCATCTCTAGGGTGTAGACATGCAAATAAGTCACAGTAGGTGAGCATCTTCTAAGAAGTAATTTTATGGTTTGCTCCAGCTTTCCAAATCCAGATGTCCCTATTAGCAGGGGCATGGTAAATCTTGTGGAAAGGATGTTAAATGTCAGTCTTCACATCTTGGCATGAAACCTGGCTGTACGTGCAGGTCCCTGGAGAGACTTTAGCTCTGTTCTCAGAGCTACCTGCACTTAGCAAGCATCTGTGTCTGCTGCTGTACAGAAATTCCTGAGAGCCAGTATCATAAACTTGTGATTCACATCCTATTAAAATGGGGGTGCAGGGGGACTCTGTCAGTTGATTATTCATTGCTATACATAGTTTTATTTGCACGTGATTACATACATTTTATCCTTCAGATTACATCTGAGCATCATGCATCTAACTTCTTTTTTTCACCCCCTTTCTCATTGTGTTTTTTTCAAGGTAGTCAGTTCTTGTATTCAACTTACGGCTTTACTCTGTTAAGTGCTGTTGTGGAGAGAGTTTCAGGACAAAAATTTACAGATTATATGTTAAAAATGTTTCGTGATTTGGATATGCTGTCAACTGTACTAGATGACAACGAAGCAATGATATATAACAGAGCAAGGTAAGCAAGGGTGAACCTCTTTTTTCCACAATTGTTGCTCTATCTTTATTAAACCAAGTGAATTAAGAATGTGGGATTTATCCCTCCTCCCTGTTTTGTAAATGAAGTGGCTTATGTTATTTCAAAGTTAGTCATGTAACTGATTTTGTGTGACCATTATAGCATTGTTTCTGTAATTAGCAGGTACAATTACAGAATAGGAAATAGGTATTTCCTGTTAGAAGGGTGTATATGTGGGGAGTGGCAGGGGTGACTGTGAAGTCTGCATTCATTTTGGGTAAGTGGATAATAGAGTAAACTAGAGGAGTAACTAGGAGATTATGTTAGAATATGTAGTTACCTTGGGGTTTTTAATATACTGACTTTTTAAGAGTTCCATGGAATTGTAATGGTCTCACAGTAACATGAGGTTTTCGTAAAGCGTAGTATCAGTTTTAACCAGAACTGAAGTTCTGATTAGCGCCGAACATGCTTTACCAATTGATCTGTTCTTATTAACTTAAACCACACAAAACCCCACCCAGATAAATTTATGTATCTGGATAATGCATATAGTGCATCCAATATAGTGGATAAGGGTAGAGTTTCTTGCCCTTCTCTCCAGTCATGTTTTATCAATCTGCCTGACCTGGCTCTGAAATGGATTTATTGAGTGACCTTTTAAATTTTGGTGGGGGAGAAAAACTCTGATTAAATCACAAAAGCAGGTTACAGAAAAAGTCTCATAAAAATGAGACTCAGACTTACTGAAAGTTTGTCTTCTAAAATGCTCTCAAAGAAATCAATCACAAATGGAAGCTACTGTCTTCAAGCAGTCACTTGAGACTTCGGCTCAGTGTCTGATAATCATTGGCTAGTGGTAGGATTCCTCTTTCTTAAAACACTTTAAATCCAGTACAGGGATTTAAGAAAAGTCTTGTGCTGGCTGACCTATAGATTTCTGTCGCACCTTTTATTTGTATATTGCCTTTAGGCTTAGTAAAATCAAAGAGTTAGTAGAAGGATTAGTACTTTTGACAGTAAGATTCTAACATAATAACTTTCTAACAAAAGCTTGACAGTACTTTACTGACAGTAAGCTTCTAACATAATAATAATGATGGTGATGATGTCACCTTAATTTTTATGTTCCCGTCTGAATTTCTTGTTGCTTTTTCTGCAGGAAAAATGTATTAAGTTCTCAAGTTCCACAAGCACAAGCTGATACATGCGCAGTTTGCTCTTTTAAGGTAGAGCAGCTTAAAATAGCTGTGCATAGTGTCAGAGAATGACGAGTTGAATTTTCTTGAATTCCAGGTGTTACGTTTACAACAAAAAGGGACGGCTGGTGAATGCACCGTATGTGGACAACTCTTACAAGTGGGCTGGTGGTGGCTTTCTCTCATCAGTAGGTGACCTGCTGAAATTTGGGAATGCCTTGTTGTACAGTTATCAAGCCGGACAATTTAAAAACACTAAAGGCAGACTTCTTCCTGGGTACCTCAAACCAGAAACAGTCACAATGATGTGGACCCCAGTGCCAAAAACAGAAGTATCATGGGACAGGGATGGTAAATATGCAATGGCTTGGGCTGTAGTAGAGAAAAAACAGCAGTGTGGCTGTTGCAGACAGCAGAGACACTATGCATCTCATACGGGTGGTGCAGTGGGGGCAAGTAGCGTCCTCCTCATTCTTCCTGAAGAGCTGGACTCTGAAGCTACAGATACTGGGCTAGTGGCACCACCTAGAGGAGTAATTGTTACTATTATCTGTAATATGCAATCGGTTTCACTCAACAGCACGGCCTTAAAGATTGCAAGGGAATTTGATAAAGAAAAACAGGCACAGTATACAGGTTAAAAAAAGGAAAAAGGTAACGTGTAACTGGACTCACTGCACAGAAACGGGAAAAACAAACGGAGAAGGGTGTAATTTGACTCTAAGATCACTAAGAATACATGAGCAAAAGCATCAACAGTTCGCTTAATTAACTTCTGCTAGTGGTGCTAAACTTATCTCTAGCTGGAATTAATCTCTCAGGGAAGTTCCTGACTTACAGAAAGGAGAATGTAACAGTCAGCTTTGACTTCTGTAGTATCTGTGTAAATCATCATCATGTTAGCAGGTTTTTTTCTCATCAGTCAAGCACTTGATCAAGATTAAAACCAACAGCACTGGTTTCTCACACTGAGAAGTACAATGACAGATGATCTACCTTAAATGTTAAACTTTTGAAAGATTTCGCGTCTTGATTTGAGCACACAAAGATGTAGTCTGTTCTTTCTCAATGTTCCAGTCTGCCAAAACTGGTCAGTATTACTTTTGAAAGAAAACTGGGTTTACTGTTGGTTTTTTTTTATTTTGTATTTGATCAAAAAGGAAAAAAAAACCACAAACAACAACCCCCAAATCTTGAAGCTACCTCCAGAATGCAGATTTACACCAGAAGTGTGCTTCTGACAGAGCTTGTGCATTGCTTAGAATTAGGAAAGAATAAGGATAGAGTAATGTAAGTAAAAAAGTCTTTTTGGTATTTAGATGTCTTCTCTTCCACTTTCATTGGAGACGGGGAATGTGTGAAACTAGTTTAACATGAAATAAGGGTATTGTTTCCACAGTCAGAGGTACCTGAATAGCACAACATGGTGAGCTGTCAAACTCTGTTTTTGAACAATACACATGCTGACTTGGGTAGCCAGAAATGACACTGTATTCTATAATGTAGATATTCCTTGAGATACAGGAATCGGGAACTCAACAAAATTTAAAGCCCATTCTTAGAATCACAGAATCAACCAGGTTGAAAAAGACCTTTAAAGTCATTGAGTCCAACCCCAGCACTGCCAAGGCCACCACTAAACCATGTCACTGAGTGCCTCATCTACACAGCTTTTTAACACTTCTAGGGAGAGTGATTCCCCCACTGCCCTGGGCAGCCTGTGCCAATGCCTGAGCACCCTCTTTATGAAGAAATTTTCCCTAATATCCAATCTAAACTTCCCCTGGCACAGCTGGAGGCTGTTTCCTGTTGTCCTATTGCTTGTTACTGGGGAGAAGAGACTGACGCCCACCTCACTACCACCTCCTTTCAGGTAGTTGTAGAGAGTGAAACTTTGAGAGGTTTTGTAGATGTGCCTCACTTTTGCACAAGGTTGAAGAAGAAATTGTGATGAAGTTCCAAAGAAGCATTTTCCAATCTTCAATTTTACTATAGGAATATAACAACATCTGATTATATTTTTATATATTCCAAAACAGCATGGAAAATTTCTACTATCTCAAGATTTGCCCCTACCCCACTTTCCCTGCAGTTACATCAGACAGTATTTCCAGGCTGAGACAAAACAAAATAGCCTTTGGGAAATGTTTGAATACTTTCTTCCCTGTGCTGTTCAGGAGCTCTGCTGCTCTGACTTTAATGAGCAAGGTGTCTTAGCTAACAGCCACCAGAAGATAGCCTTACCTGCCTCTGTCCCAAGTTAGCACTTTTAATATTGACTTCATAGTTGCTATCTGCCCTATGATGAAACAACATGCTGTCATCTCTCTTCCCAGTATGCCTGTGATACCATTTATTACCCAAGACTGAAAAAACATGAAATTTAATCTTTTGAGGTGTCAGTGTTTTACCTACATTTTTAATTGAAGGTAGTAAGGCTGGTTTAGTACTCTTAAGTATTATCGTTCTTGTGCCTTAAAACAATAAAAGGTAAACTATTTGCTTGGGTTTTCTGGCCCACTCACCAAAACTTCACTTTTTTATTTGTTAATAATGAGTTGTCTTTATCTCTAGAATATCAGATCAGTAGGGACAACAGAGAGAACCTTTCTGAACAAACTTTCATTTGGTCAGGCAATAAATCAGCTGCTTTTTCACTGAAGTTACTGATACTGTTTGACAATTCCAATACAGAAGTACTGGAGGTGAGTACCTTCAATAGCAACTTTTTTTCCCAATCTTTAGTACCTTCTAGCTCGGTAAACCTGCAGTGGCAGAAGTCACTGCCCATTTTACATGGGGAACAAGAGTAAGTAGTTCTGAGTTGTTTTCATTTTGAAAGAATACATGAATAGAATGGACCAAATACAACGTTTTAAATGTAAAAAATCTGCAAAAGTAGTTTCTGTACTTGTTTTAGGATTTAGAACATCTTTTCTTGTATGATACATCTGTTTTGCAAATGTCATTTTGCATACTTGAGAGAAAACAAGTTTCCCTCACTGACCGTTGTGTTTGGGTATAGAGACTGAGAACCTAGAAAGCACAGGTTTACTGTTATACTTGTCTGCATATGACCAAACACTAATATATATATATATATAGGTACGGGTTAGATATAAGGAAGTTCTTCACTATGAGGGTGGTGAGGCACTGGAACAGGTTGTCCAGAGAAGTAGTAAATGCCCCATCCCTGGCAGTGTTCAAGGCCAGGTTGGACAGAGCCTTGGGTGACATGGTCTAGTGTGAGGCATCCCTGCCCATGGCAGGGAGTTGGATGATCTTAAGGTCCTTTCCAACCCAAACCATTTTATGTACAAAAGTGAATAAAGGTAAGAAGTGTCTAAGGCACTTCTAACACCAAGATATTAATGACAGTGCCTCACTCCCCTGATGGAATTTGTTTAGCCACCAACTTTTTAAATACATATCATGTTCTTCATATTGTAGCTTAAAAACCTTCTGGTTTTAAAAAACCTTCTGACACATACACAGTATTAGAGATGCTATGATGTCTGAATTTCATCTTCCAGTACCTGGAACAAAATGTGTCATGGACTTTTTCTGATTTGGTATTTACTCAATCATGAATTCTTACCTTTTGGATGTAGAGGAAGAGACGGCAGAGGTACAGGAGACTAAGATTCAATCTGGCCTTAGCATACATATTGAGGTCACAAGTGAATTAATATTACTGTTTTGATCTTTAGTCTGAAAGCAGTTATTTGATGGACTGGCATTAAGTGTGGGAAACTGGTCAGTTAAGAGCAGCTTTCATGACAAACTTGCACTTAAATTAACCTTTATTTAGAAAACACGGTATGGCACTAACATAAAACTCTGCTTTTCTTAAAAGGCATGTATATTAAATTGGTGCATCTGTTTCTGTATCAAACACCTATTTTTTTGCATCTGGTAATTATGTGTTCACTGCTGTTTGAATTAAATTAAATAAAACTTAATACAATGAATTGCAATACCAGGTTTAGGGTTTAGTTTTTTTTATTTACTAGAAACATATTTTTGTAAGTCATAAAAAGGATGCATGCTAAATAGAAATTCCCAAAAATAATTAGCTCACAAGACACTAGATACTTTGAAAGAGATGTTGAGCCATTATCTAGTAAAGTAAGATACATGTAAAACTTAGTTTGAATGTTTTCTCATGGTTTAAAAAAGAAAATGTGCCTTTTATCAGCCATTTAGAAAGTAATGGCTTTTAAAAACCTTGCTGCAAAAAGGTAATCATGTAATGTCAGTATTTAATACTAAAAGTGTACATGTGTTTGCTGTACTAGTTTGGGTTTTTTTTAATGATGATACCATTCACAGTTGTTAACGTACTTTGTGTCAGCAGTAACAACAATAAGTCATTATTGTTGGTTATACACCATATGCCTTCTCTATACTAAATGCTTTCCGTGTTTTGCAAAAGACTCCTTTTTTTCTCTTGTATAGAAATCTCTGCACAGAATACCAAATGCAGTTTCAAGACCAGATTAGAGGGAAGGGGAAAAAAATCCCCAAACAAAACAGAAAAGCAGCTGAACATAAGTGAGTAAGTTTGTATTTTCATTTATCACCACATTACTTATGTGGTGATAGAGGGACTAATGTAATGCTGAAAGCAAGCGAGCCATTTTAAATCTATCTAGCCTTTGCAACCCTTGCAGTAGTGAAGTATACAAAATGCACTCTTACAGCAGTTTTCTGTCACCATATGCATCACACTGCTGGAGTTGATAAATGAGGGCAAGAAAGTTGCAAGCCCGAGGTTTTCATATTAAATGACACCTCCCAATTAACAATATACTGTTTAAAAATAAAACTATAAAAATAGAGCTCAGTTGAATGCAAACCTGCAGGAAAAAAATTGCACTTCAAATTATTTATTGAAAAAGAGATTGCAGCTCATTAGTCACTAGTGCATGTAATCTTTACAAAATCAATTGTAATTACATTGTATTAACAGGCATTTTTAAACTGGTAAGGCTTTCAGGAGCACAGATCCAAACCCACATGCTCAAGTGTTTAGTGTTGCTTTCTTCTAAATGAACAGCCTGTGAACAAATCACATGAGTATAGGGATGAATAGTCCTTGCATTGTCAGGCTGCCTTGCAAAACTGCCCACCCAACCTAAGTAGGAAAATTCATGCGATAAATTTAAACCTCAGGTACCATAATAGGTGAAGATTTAGTACTTCAAGTCTTCTCTGACTCAACCAGGCAACACAGCCGTTGTATAATTCTTATTAAAATAAGGGCAAGGAATACTATTTCTTTTCTTCCAGATGCCTTTTAAAACTTCATTCTGCTGTTCCACCCCTTTAGTCATACAAACCCCAACTCTAAGCAATTTGCAAGATAAGTGTTCCAGTACCATTTTCAAAATCAAAGCTAAAATGTTTGCAAGCTCTAGATACATAAATGCATTTACATAAGTGGAAGTTTTAGGCCACTAAACATTGCCTCTTACCTTCTGTTAGTCTGGCTTTACCCCCAGTAGGCTGACACAGGACAGTTGAGCACCCTACGCACAGAACAACTGTCTGAGCATGGCTGAATACAGTGGTGATCTTGTAGCATCCTGGAAAACAGCACGATTAAAATTTCCATTGACCATTTCTAGCATGATTTTTTGTATGTGTAATTGAACCAGGTACTTGAAATACACTTGTCCAAACAGGCATCTCTATTTCATTCCACAGCAAACTAAATAAAACAAAGCAAAACGTGGTTACCGTGATATGAACTAGTTGCTTTTACTGGCATGCGTATGAAAGCTAGTTAGTTAACTGAACCCAGGATGAAAATCAACATAGCCTGATAGCTGTAAAGCCCTAATTAGCCTGTGATATGTCTCCTGCAAAAGAGTCAAGGAGAACTAGACTAGCCTCTGTTGATTAGAACCACCCATCTACCTAGGGAAATATTTAACTTGTAATAATAGAACATTGCTGTTGGCAAAAGTCTGGTAGCTGTGAATATAAACACTGATGTTTGAATCCATGTTTGCTTTCTGTTAATAATCGGTGCCCATAAGGCATGTGCTTAGTTGCATTCTATAAAGCTAGCATCATATCCGAGTAAGACTTGCACAGAATAACTTCACTAATTCCAGATGCAAGAAGAGGCATCAGCAGCACTTTGTCTACAACTTCTAAATTATATGACTTATAAAAGAATGAAATCACTGTCACACATGGCTTAGACAAGCAAATTTCACTGCTTTCATTCTTTTCCCTAAAAAGTGTTTTTAATTACCCACAAGGAATTTTTGGAGGGAGAAAATTTGTAAATTTGTAAAGGATTTTGTCTAGATGTGGATGTACAGAATAGACAGATAAAGGTGAGCACAGATTCCATTTTCAGCATGCTCGGACCCCAAAAATAAGATAGAATGTATGTTGTGAGGAAGGGCCTTAGAAAGCTCTTGGCGCCTCTTGCTTAAGGCTCCTGTCAATATCGAAGTTCTCCTGCTTTGCTCTGTATGCCCCTCAAACTCAGTAACCAATTAATCCAACAATAATGAAAATAAGCAATGACCTATGGGCCTGTGTTGACATTAACTGTATTGTAGTATGTGTGTGCATGCACACTGGTTTGAAGAAAGTTGAAAAAAAGAAGCAGTATCAGTAGCTTAGCCTTCAACCATGTTTTTTTAAAAGTAACCACACTGTACTTTCAATCTGTTTTAATGGATTCACATCACTTTTAGATGGAAAACAATGTCTCAGAGCTCCTTAGGAATCTAAGCTACTAAGAAAAGATAAGATAATTAGAAAACCTGACTACAGCAACAGTTCCCTTCTTCTAGTCGGGATGATCACTCCTGTAAGTAAGTCTATGCATTTTCTGACTGCTACAGTAGTAAACAGTAAATAAGTTAAGCACACTTGACAGTTTCTGTGCCTACACATGGATGTAGCTGTGCTGACAGAAGAAGGTGTTTGCTGGTAGAACATCCTCCATTGATTGTGCTGGAAAACCCCAGGTTTTAGTTTATAAAAGAGAAGATGGTTATACTGATGTTTCTGAGCCAAACTGGTGAAAATCTTTGCAAAGCAGAAGCAAACCCCTGTATGTGTGTGCTAGATGTCACCTTGCTTCTTGACAGCAGCATGTGATAAAGGCAGTTGTAGATGTTTCACTTTCTATGTAAAATTACAGTTGCCGGCATATATCCCTGTGAAAAGTTTTTCTGGGTGCTCTTCCAGAATCAATCAGCTTGCAGAAGGAGGAAAACAATGTTGTCTTCCATTTGAAACTTGAGCCACGGATGCTTTAAAGCAAGAAAAAAGACTACAAGAAACCTGGAGAGGGACTTTTTACAAGGACATTTAAGCACATGTCCTTGTAAAGGTCAAGGGGGAACGGTTTTAAACTGAGAGGGAAGAATTAGATTAAACATTAGGCAGACGTTCTTCCCTGCGAGGGTGCTGAGGCACTGGCACAGGGTGCCCAGAGAAGCTGTGGCTGCCCCATCCCTGGCAGTGTTCAAGGCCAGGTTGGACACAGGGGCTTGGAGCAAGGTGCTTTAGTGGAAGGTGTCCCTGCCCGTGGCAGGGGGTCGGAGCTGGATGAGCTTTAAGGCCTGTTCCAACCCAAACCAGGCTGGGATTCTGTAATTTCATCTCCATACATGTAAATCTGAAGGGAGGTGCATGTGTGTGTGTGTGTGCCTACTTGGTCGGAAACGCACCAGACCTCCGGAAAGAAAAATAAAAACCCTGTTGTTTACATTCACTTTTGAAAAAGGGTGAAAACACTCGTTGTTAAACAAACAGAGCAATATATGGACTGATTTTTTCTGTACAGAACAGATAAACGACATTTATATTGGAAAAAAGAAAATCAGACCTTTAATGGAGATGACCCGTGTACAGAATTAGTTCTGATCCTTTCTGTAAGATATAATTTAGATACTTACCTGGGCATTTTACATCCATGAAGTAGGAGTTGGGGCTCTGCACAAGCCGTTTCTTCTTGTGCTTTCTCCTCTCATCCTCCGCGGAGGGGTGCACCAGGTCCTTGGCCAGCTGGGGAGGGCAGAGCACAGAAGTGTTGGGCTCAACGCACAGGCTGGACGCCGCGAAGCCGCCTCCAGCCTGTGCCCGAGCACGGCCGCAGCACTGGGAGCAACGGCCCCGGCCCCGGCGGCCTCGGGGCGCGGTATCGCGGTGGCTCCGGCCGTGGATCGGAACAACTTACGGGCATCTCGGCCTGCAGCGGCGCCGGACCCGGACCCGGACCCGCACCCCGACCCCGACCAGAGCTGCTCCTGCCGCTGCCGCCCCTGCTTCCGGCGGGCGGGGCCCCCCGGCTCTCCCGCAGGAGGAGGAGCGGGAGCAGGAGAGATTGCGGGGGGCGATGGGGCGAAGGGGTCCGCTGCGTCCTCTTGGGGATGTGGTGTGCGGGACTGCCACACTGCGAGCGGGTCACTGCCCTGCGTGTCACCCGTGTCCCTTTAGTTGACCAGGAAATCAGTGCAGATTGTGTGCACGGTGCACTGGCTTCCTGCAGAGCACCTCTGTACGAGCGCCCGCTGCTTCCGCGCCGACAAAATGGCACAAAATCACAGGAAAAGACAGCGGGAGACCTTTTGGGATGGCCATGGCAGTTTGTGGTGGGGCAGTGCCGCAGTGCTCGCTCTACCTGCAAGTCAGAAACTGGTTAAGCACAGAGAATGATAGTCCTAATGTGCTTCCAGTTCTCTTTTCAAAAAGTCTGCTCATTTTCCCCTCTAACAAAGGTATAATTAGGAACAATTCCTTCCCCAAAGGCTGCTTACGCATTGAAACAGGCTGCCCAGGGCAGTGCTGGAGTCACCGTCCCTGGAAGTGTTCACAAACCTTGTAGACAAGGCTCTCAGTGACATGAGTTAGTAGTGGCCTTGGTGGTGCTGGGGAACGGTTGGACTTGATCTCAAAGGCCTTTTCCAACCTGGCTGATTCTGTAATTCTATGATTCTATGATCTAGAAGTCCCATCTACTTTTATATTAGATGCTGACTACATTGTCACTTGTGGTGTTTCGCAGTAAAAGACACGTTGGGTGAAGCTGTGCTCATGTGCAGGGGTGGGGGGTTTTTTCTCAGTTTGCCACCCCAATCGAAAAGCAAAATGCGTAAGAAATTCTCTACTTCCCATTTATGGGCTCCGGTCAACTTGGAGACCCTCATGGAAATCAAAATGTTGGAGATAGTGGGAAGGAAAAAAAACAACAGAATTTTCATCAATCTTTTTAGTAAGAGCCTGAGTGGTTTTTTTTTCCATAAGTCAAATTGTGAAAATAATCACAAATATCATCTGTAAAGACTCTCGGATCTCAAGTCCCAACATTTAAAGGTGTAATTCACTACAAGCCCGGTAAGTGGCACCAATAGGCCTGGGACGCATGAAAGTGGGCGGTATGGAAAGTCTTCTAAAATGTACAAGAGGCAGCGTGCTGAGCTCTCCTCCTCCTCCTCCTTTTTCTCCATCTGGGGGAGAGAACTGATGCGTTTAGCAGGCAGTATTTTAAAAGTCTGCCATGAGCACAGGTGGAGATGGAAGTTTATAGAAACATATCTTTGTGACAACAATACTCCCAAAGCTGGAATGGCCTCTGCAGTGCTGACACTGTACGTGACTTTCACAACGCTTTCTTCCCATCCCAAAACCCAAGAGCAGACCACCGTGTTGTAGTGCTCCAAGCCATTACATTGGTTTCCCTTTTCTCATCATCGCAACCATTGTCTTGTAACGTTGTAATGCTATGTTAGCATACCTTCCTTATGGGCTGGAGTGGTGATGACACACAAATAGTGGTATTTTGGAATTATTTTTTGTTATATCATGGGGAATTTAGTATGAAAGGCTCTGACTCATATTTTCCTCTGCATGCTGTCATGTGACGCGAGGAACACGAACCAGCTGTCAGTGCAGTCAGTTCTCGAGTTTTGGTTGTTCCTACTACCTTTCAGTCTTCTTCAAATGCATGTAATTTATCTGCGAGCAGAAGGAAAGGGGAATCATCTGTTTAAGCCTCTTAATTCAGAATCTGAAGGAGAAAAACATTTTTCCTTTAAGAAAATAACCTTTGCAATGTATGAAGCACCACCAACAAAAAAAGACAACTTCTAAAGTGCCGCCCTTCTTCCCCTCTTCCTCCCAGCTTTCTCTTCTTAACATCTTTCCTGCAAGGAGCCTCTGGTGCGTGAGGAAGACTTTAGAGTCACAGTTTACATTAAAAATTGGTTTCTGTGGAAGGAGGGGCACACAGGATGATCTGAAAACAGGATGTGTTTTGGACACATTCCTCTGGTTCTCTATTTTGGTTGTACTGGAGATTCATTTCCTTTTCATAACTGCTTGTAGTTCAGTGACCTGCTGGACGAGTCAGTTGTAATGCATTACCTTCAATCGTAATGACTGAAGCTTTTTTGAAGTATACTCTTTAGAAAACAGAAACACAGCAGAGTTTAAGTTGCAAGTTAAGGAGGAGAGAAATGCTGTCTCTACCACAGAGTATTGTCATTAAGACCTTTTAGATCTGCATGCACTAGCCAGCTCTAAGCTGCACTCAGAATAAGTAGGTTCACTTCAAGTGGTATGTTTGATGTGCAGCACAGTCTCCCTGTGGTTTTGCCTATACTGCAGCATTAAGTATTACAATTTTAATGGATTATAAATTAATGGTGTAAACCGTGGCATTAATGGTGTAAACCATTCATTTGGTTTAAATATGCTTATGCTGAGATAGTTTAGATGAGCTCTGGAACTTAAAGAAGGTCAACTTTTAGCACTACTACAGCAAACCTTGAAGTTAAGGGAACTTACAGATAGCAGCCTTCCAGTATCTGAAGGGGGTCTATAAGAATGCTGGGGAGGGACTCTTCATTAGGGACTGTAGTGACAGGACAAGGGGTAACAGGTTAAAACTTAAACAGGGGAAGTTTAGATTGGATATAAGGAGGAAGTTCTTTACTGTTAGGGTGGTGAGGCACTGGAATGGGTTGCCCAGGGAAGTTGTGAATGCTCCATCCCTGGCAGTGTTCAAGGTCAGGTGGGACAGAGCCTTGGGTGACATGGTTTAGTGTGAGGTGTCCCTGCCCATTGCAGGGGGGTTGGAACTGGATGATCTTAAGGTCCTTTCCAACCCTAACTATTCTATGATTCTCTAAGAGTCTTACGGTGCTTTTCCTTTCTGAACTGAACTAAACATATTTTAAGAAATTTTTCTTCACCTGATAATTACTTGATTTAACCGCTCCTATATAAAGTTCTACAGCATATACATCTGGAAAATTCAGACATTTAGATCACGAGAGTAAGGGAGAGTACTATTCTTTGTAAAGACCACAAGACTTGAACCTATGTGTTCATCTTTCCTAAACTGGGACTTAAAAGCGGGACATATGGACATACCAAATGCAGTAAGACAAAGTGTAGAATGAGCACAGAAGTATCCACCTGCAGTGAAAAACTTATTTACTGCAACTGGGGAATAAGTTAACATTATTTTTAAAGGGGTGTCACATGATGGTCATCAAACAGTAATAAATTGCAGAGGCATCTGCCAAAACCAGAGTTGTTATAGATATACATCAAAAATATTATGATATTAGTTAGCAGAGTCCAAAAGCTAAAGAGCAAAGCTCGTGATAATGATTTGCAGTGAGGTGGCATTTGGGACAAACATGCCTTATAAGATTAACTTTTGTAGGACTTGGACCTGTGGATTCCAGTTAACGTCAAAATAACACGGTTCTGGTTCTACCCACAGGTTTTAAACACGACTGTTTTTTTTGAAACCTTGTACTTAAGCAATTAAGATGTAGATTTTCCTACAATTTTGTATGCATTGAACAGAAGGGCTTGATCAAAGACATCTTTCCACACAGTTCTCTTTACTTAACCAGTCTCACCTTTGAACTGAGGGGAAAAGAGGTTTTTAAAAGCTCAAGGTAATGACATCTATCATCTGAGAGAGTGAAAATGAGAGTGGGAATGAAGTAGCAGTGGAATCTTTTGGTTTGTTTTTTTTCCTTAAAAATGTAGGTGTTGGTAAAATAGTCACAAGTTTTCATGATGAGGTATCATAGTGCCTTGGTTACTGAGCCTTAACAGCTTTGATAGTACTCCTCAGGGTTTTACTAGGATATTCAAAGTGTACATTGTACAATTCTGGGTTTTCCATGTTCTAAAAGATAAAAAAATGTAACTCTTAATTTTTATATCTTGTTTTTAAAGTTCATGGCTAAGTAAACATCTGTCCCTTGAATCTGGAAGACTGGCACTTTCCCAAACCCGGCGCAGTATTGCAAAGCCCTCATGTAATTGAAGAGGGAAGTAATTTGCATTATTTTTCTATAAAACTCCTCTTGTGTAACAGATGGTGATCGCAAACATATTGCTCCAGAGACATATGGAAGCCTGTTTGTTCCATAAAACTCAAGAGTGAATATTAACCCCAAAATTACTCTCTTCAATGCTGACATACGATTGTGGAGTAATCTTAAGTATGGGCGTTACAATATGTAGCAACTCATGTCTCTGAAAATACAGATACAGGGAAGTGTTTCAGAGATTAGTTTTTTATTTGCCATTTCCTATAATATGATGATCCATGCCAGTCTGAAAGAATTAACCGATTTGGTTTAACTGCTACAGTGCCAGGTTGCCATTATCGTGTATAAGATTTAGTCTTGTAATGAGTACCTTAACAACCCATCTTAACATCTGAACAGCCCCGCTGCTAATTATACAATACAAAAATGAACCAAGCAGCCACATTTCCAAAGCCTTGAGCTCAGCAGAGGTCTCAAAGTGTGTAAAAAAAAAAGAACTGGCAATTCCCCCTATCCTTGTTTTGTTGCCTTGATCCTGCTCTGTCAGATGATATTCTGGTCTCCAGAGGTCTCAAACAATGAAATTTGTACTTGAATCACAACACAGCCTCTGTCATGTAAAATTAGATCTTGATACAGTTAACTGAAAGCTTGGTTATCATTCATGATATTCGTCTTCTGCAGAGATTTACACCAGCTCCGTCATTGGATATTTGATGGTTTGTTATGACAAACATGTATTGGCCAGGAACACCACCAAACTGAGACCCTTAACAAGAAAGGTTTGGAATAACTGATAACTAGGAGCAGAATAGCTTTTGAGTTTTCAAGGTTTATAATGGCTAAAATATTTTCCTTTTTTTTTTTTTGTGATTCCTTGGAATACTTTGCACAAATACAGCTGTAGCCAGGCGCTGGAATAGTTTAGCCCTGTTTCACCCCATCAAATTGTAGGTTAATGACATAGACTGATTTTTTTGTGTGTTTGGAATGTGCAGGCTAACCATGTATGACAGCTTTGAACCTGCTTGGGTGAGCTCAGAGGAGGCCACGGAGGTGCTATGGGGGCTGGAGCAGCTCTGCTCTGCAGCCAGGCTGAGAGAGCTGGGCTGGGTCAGCCTGGAGAAGAGAAGGCTCCAGAAGGGGAGACCTTAGAGCAGCTCCAGTGGCTAAAGGGGCTGCAGGAAAGCTGGAGAGGGGCTTGGGACAAGGGCCTGTAGGGACAGGCCAAGGGGAATGGCTTGAACCTGCCAGAGGGGAGACTGAGATGAGCTCTTAGGCAGAAGCTCTTCCCTGTGAGGGTGCTGAGGCGCTGGCACAGGGTGCCCAGAGAAGCTGTGGCTGCCCCATCCCTGGCAGTGTTCAAGGCCAGGTTGGACACAGGGGCTTGGAGCAAGGTGCTTTAGTGGAAGGGGTCCCTGCCCGTGGCAGGGGTTGGAGCTGGGTGAGCTTTAAGGTCCCTTCCAACACAAGGCAGGCTGCGGTTCTGTGATTATTTGCTGTGTCACTTGAGCAGATAAATGTGTGACCGCTTACAAATCCAGCTGGGTTCCCCGGGAGGCCCGGCCAGCAACGGAAGAAGGAACGCGCTACGGAAAGCAAAGCCACGCCTCCCGCAGCCGTGCCCTCTGCCCGCCGGGGCGGGCACTTCCGCAGCGCCGTGACGTGCGGCGGCGGTGCCGCGCTGAGTGGGCGCTGGGCTGGCGGGGCGGGGCGCGGCGCGGTGCCTCGCCTCTCCTCTCCTCGCTCGCGCGGTGCCCCCTCCCGCTGCGGCGCGGGCCGAGGCAAGATGGCGAAGACGTACGATTATCTGTTCAAGCTGCTGCTCATCGGCGACTCGGGCGTGGGCAAGACCTGCCTGCTCTTCCGCTTCAGCGAGGACGCCTTCAACACCACCTTCATCTCCACCATCGGTGAGGCGCCGCGGCTGCGCCGCCATCCCAGGGGCAAGGGGGGCTCCTGGCCGGGGCCCTCCCGCCGGGAGAGGAATGGCCGGGATGGCGGGACGGGGAGCGGAGCGGGCAGCGCCGCAGATGTCGCCGCCCGGTCCCGGGCCGCGCTTGGCGGCTTGTGCGTGGCCGCTGCGGGCCGTGTGCGGGAGGAAGCGCCGCCGCCGTGTCCCGGTCTGGCCGTGCTCGGGAGCGCCGCTCCCGCCGGCGCCGTGCGGCGGGCTGCGGTGCGGGACAGGGTTTGTCCCTCGAGGGCGCGGCCCCTGCCGGGGAGCCGCAGGGTGCGGACCGGGCCCGGCGGCAGCAACAGTTGGCCCAGGCTCGGCGGCTGAGCCACTGGGCCGCTCGCCTGTTGGTCGTGCTGTTCGTGGGAACGGTGTTTCCGTTGGGCGGCCTGGGCGATGGCGTGTGCGGGGCTGCAGCAGCGGCCAGCCCTGACCCACGTCCCGAACAACGCGCTAGGTGAGCTGCGGGGTGATCGTTGTGTCGGTTTTCTTGCGCTTTCGTTATGGGTCCTTTCCTAGATGTGCCTTCTCAGAAGGTGGCAGAAGGCTCGGGCAGCTCATGTTAGCTGTGGGTCGTGCGCAGCTGCGCAGTGACAGGGACCACACGGCTCTCGGCAGGTCGTTTAACCATCTCTTTTCAACTGTTATAAACTCATGCGTGTACGTGTAGCTCATGGGTTTGAGATCTGGAGTAGTTCTGTTCAAGCTCTTGAGTGAACTGGAGTTAGAAGCTCCTTAGTGACTAGATAGAGGAACCTCCTCGATGAAAGTTGAGTTTGGTCACAAGTTTGGTGGTGAAAAGGAGTTTCTAAAGCACAGCTGATTTCTGTTAATGATGGCAGGATGCTGTGTATTGAAACAGACTGCTGTGTCTTGTGTTTCTGTGAGATTTATGAGCTTTAAAGTGTTTTCCACTGAACTAAACACAAGCAAAATTTTGAAGTTCTTCACTGTCCCCGGCTTAGGCCACAACATTCACTGAGATAGTAATTCATTGAAACTGCCCTGTCCCTGGCAGTGTTCAAGGCCAGGTTGGACACAGGGGCTCGGAGCAACCTGCTCTAGTGGAAGCTGTCCCTGCCTGTGGCAGGGGTTGGAACTGGATGAGCTGTAAGGTCCCTTCTAACGCAGATCAGTCTGTGATTCTGTGTCTGGCAAGACTTGAGATTTATGGTTAGCCCCTTGTAGTTGAGGTCACTTAAAATAGAGTACACTATTTTCTGGATGAAGGGGTAAACTGCACTGGAGGTTGCTAGTGTTTAGGAAGACAAAAGTAATGCTGGCTTTGGAAAATAACACTGAAAAGATGAGTAGACTCTTTATTGGAAGGAAATTGGTTTAAAGATGGGGTGGAATAACATGTGACTTGTTTTATGTTGCCCAAATGCCATATTCTCTTTAAACACTTTATTATGCTGAACTTGGTGCACGGGGAGGAAACAAATTTTGATGGAGGCAAATGCTGTTGACTCCATGAGGTATGGCTGGCATTTCCAGCACTTTGAGAACAGATTTCCTGCATTGCAACAAAATATTTCTGAAGAATTAAAATGGCATGTTCCTCTTCTCTCTGCAACCATTTTCAAAGTGCTGTATCAGCAACGCTGGCTAATCAAGACCTGAATAACATTGCCCCTACAAAGTTATTCTGCTGTATGTGTGGTAGAATGAAAGACTTAATAAACATTAATAAATGCTGTATAGTTAAAGAAAAGAAATACCCTACATTGGTAGTGTGCTAAATATAAAATACCTCTTCATACTTTTGAGGAGATAGCGGACATAAATGGGTGTGTCTGACTCCCAGCCCTTTTCTTATGTTTCCTAAACTGCATAGCCCCTTGATATTTCTTGTTCTCACTGGTTCACTTTGAAGTCTTGAGGATTTTGAATGTGATGCTGGTTCTTTTCTTGCCTTACTCAGTAAGATTTTCTGCCATTTCCTTCCTTTACACTTGCTTTCACAAGGGTAGTATTTTCAACCCTGTTCAACCTGAAGAGGCTTACTAATAACTGAGGCATGTTTCTGATTCTATAGGCACTATTTGTGATTTTACAGTTCAGTTTTCCATCTTAGAATTTGTTTCTTCCAGTCCCTTTCATTTATCAGCAAAGAATCTACAAACAGTGAAGTTGACAATGCAGGAAATGGTGAAACTGTTCATAAAGTGCTGATGTGTGCTTCAATAAAAGTACTTGGGGGTTTTCAGTCTCTTTTGTATATTGCTTGTATTACTTTTAGGTCAGTCATGTAGATCTAATCTGTTCTCTCTCTGTGAGTGCATGGTGGCTGCTCAGTACTAGTCGGTTTTAGAATCGTCACTAATACAGTTGTGTTGTCACATCTGATGAGCAAGGGGGCATTCCACTTATAACAGTTCTGATTTTTTCCCTTGTCCGATAAAGCAAAACCAACCCTACTGTGGAAGGAGACAGAGGGATGCCATGCTTTCCCAAACAGGCCCACCTGCCAGTTGAAGTTTTAATGTCTCCAGATTAGCATTCCTAATTGAGTGCACTGAGTCTTCCTGAAGTATAAGCTGCCAGGCTGTTTTGTGTATACATTCTCCAAAAAGGGGATTTTGCAGTATGATGGTGCTTCCTGTTACAATGTGTGTTCAGTCCACAATGATTTTACTTAGAACACATGATATTATGTGCCCTTAGTGGTACCCTCATCCTCTAGTCTGTTTCCTAACAAGATATCTGAGAAGGCATATATTTGAGATGTGTTAAAGTAAAATTTTATTCTTTAATTTTATGTATGCAAATGCAGCTTATGAGTGAAGTCATTTATAGGTTTTTCTTAAATACATGGGGTTAAGCCTCTATTTCAACTTTTTTCCTTTGCTTCTACATCCAGAAATTAAAACAGACTGTTGCCATGAGGTAGGGGTGCACATTATGTCTAAGCACCAGCTATCTTTCTTATACTTTCCTACTTCTGTTGTTGTTTAGTAATTTAACTGGGGCTAAACCACAACACTGCAGTTACTAGAGCAATGGAAGCACTTCCCCCCCCCCCCCAAAAAAAAGGAAATTAGGAGGGGGATGTTGAGACATTGCTCTATTATAGAAATCAGTTAATTAATTGGAGTTACTCTGTCATCTTGCACGATATACTTGGCAGATTTCTGCTGTCATGCAAAACATGCCTGTAAGGCTGCATCCTTGTGGATTGCTTGGAGGTTTGCCAATGGTCCCTTGACTTTTCTCCTGAAGACTTTTGGTCATGCTCTAATGATGGTTGTACTGATGCAGACAGTAAGGTCTTCCAGCCTGGTGTCTTGTGGGCAGCAGTTGCATGAGTAGCGGGAGAAAGGGCAGTGCATATGTGTTTATAACTTACTGTGCTTTTAATTCTGTTTTGGGTGACTCTTGGTACAAGAGTTTTTCTGTCTTTGTCTTGACTACCTGGTGCAACTCATACCTTCAGCAAACTTTGCTGCCCGTTGTGAGAAGTGAACCAGCAATCTTTCTCTCGGATGATCCCCTTGGTTATTCAAGGTGATGTGTTTTCAGTCTGAAAGCACAGATGGGATTTCATCAGCTCTCGGCAAGGCAGGTCTTGGCCTTCAGTATCTTGAAAGTTTTTACACGGAGCTCCGTATTTATGCTTGGAAAACTTCTCACAGAGTGGGCAAGTCCTGATGCTGCTGTGGTCCCTTGTGGGGATCAGCTTTTCACTGCTAACGTAGGATAAAGCTTTTACAGCAGGAATGTGTTATGTAAGGTTATGTTGTTTAGTTTGCTTCCTGAGTGGAAACTTCTGCTTTTGCACAGTTGTACATGGAAAGGAAAATGCAGTTGAGTCAGCTCATTTTCACACTTCAACAGCTCCTAAAGCAAAACTTATCTCGGAGTATCTCATGTGCATTTTGCTAGTCATTTCAGTGGTGTATGAGAATAAGCGTTAATTTAGCAGTCTCCAAGTACCGTAACTTGCTGTTCAAGTAGTGCTGTCTGGTAAAACTGGATTGGGTTTATCATTGCAAGTAAGAAGGTATATTCTTTGCATTCCTTTCAACTTTCTGTTTAAACTGGTTTCTATGAGAGCAAACTCTGATCTTCTAGCCGGCAGCATTTCTGACCTGGTACAACGGCTGCTGACTCTGACACAAAGTTTGTTGTATTTATTCTTTTGAATCCAAGATGATATCAGCGTTTGGCAGAAAGCTGCCCGCACGAGAGAGTCCTGGATCCCAGAGCTCAAACACTTTGTTGATTTTACAGAAGTAACTTTTCCTTAGCCTACATCTTGCAAAATAGGTCATGACTGGCAATCAAGCACGTGGATGCTGACCCCTGAACACTCTAAAGAAAATCCTTGACAAGCAAAATTATCAACTTCCCTTTTGGAGTGAAATTTCCATGCCTATAACATGTAATGGAAATTGGTTTGGTTTACTCAAGTTAAATTATGGCTCACTGAATGTTTCTATTCTTCTTCCCCATGGTTACTTGTTAGATAAGACAAAAGACAGGTTGTTGTGGTTTTTTCCACCTTCTCATTAAGCTTCAGCATTCCTTACTGTCCTTCAATCCATTTCTTCTGGCCTTCTCCAGATGACAGGAGCTGTAGAGGAAAACACACATCAATGACAGATGAGCAAAGGGAGGAGAGAGTCAGGAAGGCGTTGTCTTTATTAATGGTCATTATAATAAATGAATTGTAAGTGTTCTCTGCCATGCATAAAATGACTGAGGCTAGTTTGTGTCTCAGGTGGCACCATTATTCGTATCTGCAGAATGGAAGTGAATGTTCAAGGTTTGTAGGATCTGGGGCTTGGGTATTTATTCAGTCCAGTGTGAGAAGGACATCAAGGGTTTACATGGGAATAGGGGCAGCCAGCGTTATGGAGACAAATGTGAAGGTGGAAGAATGACTCCGCAGTCAGGGCGCGTGATGGGTGGTCAGCAAGATGTTACCGCATGTTGATCAGAAAGTGTTAGTTGGAG